CAAAAAGGGACCATAGTTATGACAACCACCCATATGTTATGCAGTTTGAAAGAATGGTGTTGGCTCCATGCCAGGTAGACAGAGCACCAGTGGAAGCGAAGCCGTTGTTGTGATCGAACATGAGCATGGCGTCAAGGCTTTTAAAACAAAACAGAACATGCATAAACTCCTTACGGTACCCAACTGAAAGCCCACCTACCGAGGCCCACATCTTGTAAGTTCAAATCTTGTACAAGTACCAGCCTGACTGCAGAGTTAAGGTCCAAGCTGACAGAGACACAAGTGTCCTTGATCTTGCCCATATTCTGAACGGTCCTGGCCTCAAGAGCTAGGCAACAAGCCGTAGGTCTTCGCTTTGCGTTCACACTACGCAAAACATCTTATTCTCGAACAGGGGCGGCCTTTTGCGATGTGGTGGCTCAACAAGGATCATGGTTGTCACGCGCAGGATTCTCTAGGAGTCGTTTTGAGAAACTGCACGCGCACATGTGCTATGTTTCAACAAGCGATAACTCTACCAACTGGGACAGGCGCGACAAACTGGTGTGGCAACACCCAGATCAGGACGTCTGCGTACATCACTGCCTCGCAATCAACTGGACATTAGAAGAGGGAGGTGTGGCAGCGAAGGGAGTTCTGTAAGGACAAGGTAGGAAACCGTCTCCGGGTCAAAAGAGCCTGATTTGGCCCTTTCTTGCTCAGGCCAGGCAGGACTAGCTACGTACTATCAACCAAGAACTGTGTCTGATTCTAGTAATGCGAGCAGGCAGGTGGGCATGCTTCCTAACTCTTAGGTAAACCCTGTCACCCCATCTCCTGCCCAAGTATCGCCGACACCTCAACCCTGAATCCTGAACCCTAAGCCTCATGCCGCGTGGATGGGGTCAGAATAAGATCAGCCATCTCTTAGCGCTCCTCTGTCTCATCCAAAATCTTCTGAACTGATAGCCTTTCTGATGTCCTTGTTGTTGGATTAGGGATCTGACCATTTGGGGTGTATATTAGGGGTCTCTGATATAGAGGACTATCTAGCTTCAAGCTCCTCTGGGTGTACTTGTGAATACCAACCTTCTTGTTTCAAGGACCACTCAACCAAAAGGGGCCAGAATGCATCCACTGTATCAATCTAAGCCGAGCGTTGCTTCAAGTTGTACTGATGGCCTTCTGAAGATACCTATGCCCTCAATCCGAAATCCTCAAATAGCTACTCAAAACTTCAAACTTCAAACCATACATCACGCTGAAACCCTCGAACCCACACGGCAATCCTCTAGACGGATAGTGTAGCTTTTGCTAGAAAGGAACAAATCCAAATCCTCATAATGTGGCCCAAACACAGAGAGCCATGCTATCTGCTCCTGCTATTACTACTATTTATTTTCCCCTACTACTACTACTACTACT